CGTCTTCTGACGCCCCGTGGACGTGTCGTTTGAGCGGCGGCAGAAACCATGGACGTGGACGCTGAGAGAGAGAAAGATCACGCAGGAGATCCAGGCGCTGGAGCGGATCTTGGGCCCCGGCCCGGCGGGCTTCGATGAGGAGGTGTCAGAGTCCAGCCTCGAGTCGGATTCCGAGGCGGGGGACGCGGGTGAGCTCCCAGGCACGCAGCCTCCTCCCTGCTGAGCGGGCGCCTCTGCCCGCGGCTCCTGTCGGCCACGCGGTGCTGCCGGACCGGCCGTTCTCCCCAGAACCGGACCCTGCACACACCTTCTCCATCAGCCCCTGGCCCTGCCCGAGCGCCGCCCGTGGTGGGCACCTGCGTCAGGCCGTCCTGGGCAAGCCCCGGGCGGAACAGCCACCGCGCTGAGGACCCCGTCCCCTGGCCCCTAGTCCATGGGCGCAAACAGCTGCTCCCTCCTGGGTCCCCTGGGACTGGGTGCCCCTCTCACAGCTCCTGCTAGAGCCCTGCCTGCAATGGCCCAGCTGCCCAGGGCCCCCCCCTGCCCCCCTCTCCTCTGCCCCAGGCTCAGCTCGGAGGCCCCACTTCTTTCACCTGTTCCCAGGGCCTCTGCATCTGTCTCCTCCCCGGTTGTCCCCACAGTCCCTGTCCCCTGCGTGCCTGGGGGCTTCGTGTTGGGCCTCTGTCTCTTTTCTCACTGACCTGCCCGGTCCAGTCCTGCCTCCGGGCCCGCGAGCGGTGCTCAGCTCCCGGTGCTGTCGGGGAGGGAAGGTCCATCAGCGCAAGCCTCACCCTGAGGTCCTTCAGCCCTTCCCTGGCCGGCAGCTGCCCGGGGGGTGGGCCGAGTGCCGCGCCTGCGGGTCGGCGCCTGTGGGGGCCCCTTGCCAGCCATCTGCTTGCATGGCGGTCGCAGCGGTGTGCTTGTGTCCCCAGATTCGCTGCCCGACGAGGACTCCGCCACTGCTGGTCCCCCCGTCTCGGTAACTACCACCCTGAGCTGGCCGGGTGCTGGGAGGGGGTTCCTGCGATAGAAAAACAATGCGCGGTGGTTGCTTCGTTTTGTATCGTCAAACTAAAACCGTCAGCAGGTTGGTGTGTACCCTTTCCGAGTTTCCCAAGCCCTCGTTTCTCTCAACCCGACACCACGCACGGAGGGCAGGCAGCGGGCACCTGGCCTCGGTCTCCCCGTCTGTGCAGGGGGGGCAGGCACAGCCCAGGCCGTCGCGCACAGGAGCGCCCAGAGCAGTGTCCGGCAAGGAGTCGCTCGGCCTGGCGACTGTTAACTCTTCCTCGGTCACTCGGGAATTTTCCGTGATTTGGGGGAATTTCCGCAGTTGGCTTGTCTCTTCACCCCGTCGGTAGGAGCTGCGCCACCTGTCCCAGCGGCGGGCGGGCCCCTGAGGCCCCCCTGTGGGCTGACTCGCTGCTCAGACCCACTGCTTTCCCGCTTTCTAGCTGCGTGCGCTGCTGCTGCCTGTCACCTCACCTGCCTGTGAGGACGTCACAGGGTCCAAGTTTAGCAGAAATGAGAGGAACTACCCCCCCCCCCGTTTTCTCGCGCACACCCACCCCCCTTCTTAGGGAAATGAGTTTTCCATGAGGGAGCGGGTGCCCTGGAGTTCAGGTCAGGGTGGTCCTGCCATTCGAGCGTCTGGGTCGCGGGCCCGAGGGCGGGAGCGCTGGTGGCCGCGCTTCCTCACCCGCCGTCTCCGTGGTGACCAGGAAGGAGAGAGGTGGGACGGAGCCAGCAATGACGAGGACGACCCCAAGGGGAAGACGCTTCCCGAGGACCCGGAGACCTGCCTGCAGCTGAACATGGTCTACCAGCTGGTGCTGCAGGAGAAGCTGGCGGAGGTCAGCCTGCTGCTGGCCCAGAACCAGGAGCAGCAGGTAGGACGGTCCGGCCCGCGCCCCCCGCCAGGCCTCCCGGGACCGGGGCGGTTCTCCCACAGGCCCCTCGTGTCCACAGGAGGAAGTCATGTGGGACCTGGCAGGGTCCAAAGGCCCCCGGCTGAAGGACAGCAAGAGCCTGCCCCTGAACCTGTACGTCGGGCACTTCCTCAAGCCCTACTTCAAGGACAAGGTCACCGGAGTGGTGAGTCCGAGGCGTCGGGACCGTGGGGCAGGCGCACCCCCGCCGCCTGTCGTGAGTTCCCGTGGTCTTCAGGGCGGTGGTCTCCAGCGTCCTAGCCCCCTCCCGGGCCCCGAGGAGAAAGCCGGGGCCCCCTCCTGTGTGGGGCCGGCCGGCTGCTCCACGGGTCAGCCCAGGGCCTGGCCTCCAGGGGTGGCCGAGGGCCCGCTAGGCAGGGCCGCCCGGTCCTGGTGGTGGGGCCCGGTGTTGCTGGTGGCAGCTTTCCCCTCTTCGCCACCCTCTGCCAGTGGGTGGTGCCCGGTGCCCAGTGAGGCAGCTGCTCCAGGTCCAGGTGTTGAGGGCCAGGCCTGGCACGGGGCCCGGCCGCTGGAGGGGGCGGAGGAGAAGGGGTCCTGAGTCCGCATCGTGACGCCGTGCTCTCGGACAGGGGCCTCCTGCCAACGAGGACGCGCGGGAGAAGGCTGGCCAGGGCATCAAGACCTTTGAGGAGCTCCTGGTGACCAAATGTGAGGGCCGCGCTCGGCACCGCGCCTCCCACACCCTCTCCCGGGCGCGGGCGGCTCTCCGCTCCCTCCTGGCCAGACGCCGGGCCGGGCCACTCTCAGCCCTGCCTCCCGCACTGAGCGGGGTCCCGGAGGGGACGCCTCCTGGCGGGGGGGCCTGGCTGGGTGGTTTGCCCTCTGCTTCCTCTGACTGAACGTGGAAGTCGGAGCTGACATCGTGCGCGGGTCCCGGGGAGGCGCTGGCCCCTGGCAGCCCCGCTGAGCCACGTCTCTCCTCAGGGAAGAGCTGGGAGAAGGCCTTGCTCAGGAAGGCGGTGGTGAGCGGCCGCCTGCAGCGCCTGCTTCAGCCCAAGTTACTGAAGTGAGTCCCCAGGGCTTGGCGGAGGCTCGGGCCCTCCTGCCGGGTCCCCTGCGGCAGCGGCTGGAGGCCAGTATGGAAGCGGGTTGGCCGAGCCCCCACAGTGCTGGTCTCACCGAGGCAGTTTCTCTGGTCTGGGCCTCAGTGTCCACCTGTGAAAATGGGGACCATTCACGAGACCTGCTTTGTGTGTGCTGATGGGGTGACGTCATGTGACCAAATCACAGCACCTGGTCCAGCCAGGGGGCCCAGGGCCTTCTGTGGCCTCAGGCCTTGACGTGGGGTCAGGGCTGCCTGTGTGACGGTCACAGCCCTCCATGGGCTGCGGGAGGTGGGCTCTCTGAACTGTTCTGGAAGCGGCATGTGCGCGGGCTGCAGGACCCGCCCCCGGGCGCTGGCACAGGCTGGAAGCTGGTCACTGGGCTCTGGCAGGTGGAGTGGCCGCAGTTACCGCCCGCGTCAGCACGTTGCTGCACTCGCTGCTGACGTAACAGCCGGGGGTGGCGCCGCGTTCTCTGCGGGCGAGGAGCCGCGGCCGCTCCGGGAGGTGAACTAGCCTGCGGGTCCGAACCCCGGCCAGGCTCGTAGCCAGCGCCCTGCTGCTGTGCTGTGGAAGCCGCCTGCCCACAGCGACCCGGCCTCTGCCGCCCACAGGCTCGAGTACCTGCAGCAGAAGCTGAGCAAGGCCACGAGCGAGGCGGAGCGGGAGGCCCTAGAGAAGCAGAGCAGCAAGGCCGAGGAGGAGATCCGCGACATCAAGTGAGTGGGGTGCGGGCGCGTGGGACAGGCGAGGGCCGGCCTGACCCGGTGCCCTCGCCTCTGCAGCCAGCTCCCGGAGGAGGCCTTGCTGGGCAGCAGGCTGGACAGCCACGACTGGGAGAAGATTTCCAACGTTAATGTAAGTCGGAGCACGCTCCGTGGCCACCACCAGACCCAGCGCGACCGGTGGCCAGGTGCGTGGCCAGCACTGGGGCGGCTTTCGGCGCACCCCCTCCCGCACACAACCCCTCCACCCCCGCTCCCGCCTCTGCTGGTGTGAGCCTCTGCTGAAGGGGGCGGGTGCGGAGTCGCTTTGCATTTAGAGCCAAGCCTATGGGTTTGGCTGCTTGAGGCCTGGCGCCTGGATGGAGCACTCGCTCTCTCCGCACGGCCGCTGCCAGTGACAGCTCCGCGGGGTCTCTCAGTTTGAGGGCGGCCGCAGCGCAGAGGAGATCCGGAAGTTCTGGCAGAACTGGGAGCACCCCAGCATCAACAAGCAGGAGTGGACCAGGCCAGAGCTGGAGCAGCTGAAGGCCATCGCGGCCAAGCACGGCCACCTGCACTGGCAGGAGATCGCCGAGGAGCTGGGGGTGAGCACCTCCCAGACCGCAGGGGTGTGGGTGCTGCCGGGACCTGGAGCCCCGGGGGGACGGCGGGCGCCGAGCTGAGAGGCAGCGTGCGGCTTGGGTGTCATGTAGACGAGTGTCCCGGTGACTCCTCTGAGGTGTCTTCTTGCCGAGCGCGTCTGTGTTCGTCACGGGCGCTTGCTATCCCGGGGCGGGGAGGGCGGAGCGCGTGGGTTGTCGGTGCCCAGAAGCCCTCACCCGCATGGCGCCTCCGCCCGCTGTGGCCGCAGACCCGGCGCAGCGCCTTCCAGTGTCTGCAGCAGTTCCAGCAGCACAACAAGGCCCTGAGGCGCAGGGCGTGGACGGAGGCGGAGGACCGCATGCTCACGCAGCTGGTGCAGGAGATGCGCGTGGGCAACCACATCCCCTACCGCCGAAGTGAGTGCGCCCTCGGCCAGGCCGCCGACGGGAGGGCAGGGACGGCGGGCCTCTGGCGGGTGGCGAGGCCAGGCAGGAGGAAGAAGGGAGGGTCCGGCCGCTCCAGGGGTCCCGGTTCCATGCTCCGTGGTGATGGCTGCTCCTTCCTGGGGGACCCGGGAGGGGCAAGTTCACGAGGCCCCTTTGCCCCCAGTTGTCTACTACATGGAGGGGAGGGACTCCATGCAGCTCATCTACCGGTGGACCAAGAGCCTGGACCCCCGCCTCAGGAAGGGCCTCTGGACCCCCGAGGAAGACACGGTAGGTGTGGGGGCCGGGAGGGCCATCTCCTGGGAAGGGCACCTGGACACAGGTGGCCCCTTAGCGGACCGAGTGGGGGTTGTGATTACTGCAGAGGCCCATCTGTCTGTCCTTCCTGCAGAAGTTGCTTCAGGCCGTTGCCAAATACGGGGAGCACGATTGGTTTAAAATCCGGGAGGAGGTGCCAGGGAGGAGCGACGCCCAGTGCCGGGACCGGTGAGTGCGCCCTGCGGGTGCGGCAGGCCGGGTGGGTGCGGAGACCAGGCCGGCGCTCTGGCCCGGGGAGGCCTGGGGCCCAGGGGAGACCCAGTCGGGAAGTGGGGCAGCTCTTTACCTTCAAGCTGCAGCTTATTCAGACTCCAGTGGGGACGGTCCCTGCGAGGCAGGCGCCCTGAGCACTGGTGCGATTCCTCCCCCAGCTCGCCGAGCCCTCCTCTGGGCTGGCTTCTATCCCGGCCGCTCTGTGAGGGGTGGCTCCCCTGCCACCCAGCTCCCCTCTCAGCACGTGCGGCCTGTGGTTTCTGGTGTGAGCACTGAGTCGTCGTGGCCATGATTTTTAGGGTATTTTGATCCCCCCACAATGAAACCTATTCCCCAGCAAAGAAAACAAGTCAAAAATGGAAAAAGGGCCTGAACAGACGTTTCTCCAAAGATTAAACACATGAAAAGAGGCCCACATCCTCGATCATTTCAGGAATACAAGTCAAACCCCCAGGGGTGACCACTTCATGCACGAGGTGGAGAGAGTGGAACCCTGGGCATTGCGGGTGGGAATGTGCTGTGGAGACTCCTCAGGAATTAAATAGGACCGCCACGTGGCCCACCTCCCCCTGCACACCCGCTGCCACAGGGTCCGGGAGGGGACACGCCTCGCTCCGTCCACAGGGTCCGGGAGGGGACACGCCTCGCTCCCAGCATCCGGGAGGGGGACACGCGTGTTCGTGGCGTCCGGGAGGGGCACACCCACATGCCCTAGACAGGGAGGGTGGGAGGACAGCGGGCAGTGTCTGGGCGGTAGCGTGTTGTTGCCTGAGAAACGGGTGGGGACGTGCTGAGCGCCGTGGGGTGGAGCCTGGGAGAGGGACACAGTGGGCGAGGTGCCGCGCTCGGCGTCATTTCTCGGACACACACCTGGGCCTGTGGGTGCCAGCTCCCACGGGGACCCGCCAGACGCCCCCCCACGGGGGCTGCCCCGCACTCTGTCCCCAGCCGCGTGCGGGGCCCAGTCTCCATGGCCTCGCCAGCAGGCCCTGCTGTTCTGACGGGGCGTCTGGGGTGCTGTGTCCTGCCGGTGCGAGCGGCCTTTCCCGCGGCTGCCTTCCCTGGGGAAGTGCCCGGTGCCCTGCCCGTTCCCGCTGGGCGACCTGTCGGATCAGTGGCGCGGAGAGGCCGTCGTAAACTCCAGACCAGCCTCTTCGCGGGCACGCGGTTTGCAAACTCGCCGCCTGGGAGGGTCTTTCCCTTTCCCGACG